AGCGAGCATTGCTGCACTGTAAAAAATAGTCGTAGATTAATAAACTATCAAAAAGGGTTTATTGAGACCAATAAACCCTTTTTGATAGTTTCTTCATCTACGACTATTTTTTACAGTGTGATAAAAGGATAAACATTATGAGTATTTGTATTACTCTATCACTGCTTCATACAGTTGACGTACGATCTGGGAATGTTGTAGACGAATCCAAACGTACTGGAAATATTTTATTCAAAATATTGCCGTTACCTAAAGTTGAGAGACGAGAGCTACATCCAAAAGTTCTGTATCATGACTTTTGATATCTGATATCCATTTCAAAACATGATATTAGAGATCAGTGCTTTGTTAACTTATAATTTCAATTCTGTATGAAAACACAATAACATTCTGTAAAATATGAGAATTACGGATTTAATGATTATTTCACTTTGAATCATCATGTAGCACCGTTCTACTGCAGAAACTACGCAAGATTTTCACAATTGCAACAAAGTATGCATGAAGAAATTGGTAATTATATATTTAATAGAAGTAGTCTGTTTCGAGTAACATTTGAGAATACTAGTTAAGTTCTGGAATGTGCAGTATTTCTCTTAGAATTTATCATTATAGTGAGAGGATTACAGCCTTTTCCTTCCTAGGATATTACATATCAACAAAAGTTGAGTATCTTTCTTTGACGTTCTGCAAAATCCTGACTGTTTTCACCCTATAATGTCTTATTCTCGCCTTTAGATTAAAGATATAGAAGCAAACTGTGCTATACTCAGACTATTTTATTTGTTTTATTTCTCCGATTTTCAAGTACAGTGATTTATTTATCTAGTAGAAAAAAAATATATAAACACATCGTCATTTCTAACTATAATTGACGACTTTGTCGTTATTAGACTAACATCACCATAAGGAAAAGAAGAAAAGAAAAGTGATAATACATGCAAACTGTAACAGATTTTAAAGCGGCATGTGTTATATGACTTATGTAGTGGAACACAGAGATTGTTATTTGGCTTCTTTTTTTCTGATATTGATGATACATTAACCAGAAGTTGTTATACAGTTCTATTTTTCTCATCGATGTAGACAATATATATATATATTCATTGGGATGTCTCTAATGATTTATACTTTTGTTTTGTTTCCTTATTGGTACTAAAACGACCATATTCTGTTATGTCTCATCACCAATCTAGAAAATACACACTCTATCCTAGAATAGATAAATATAGCCTTCGTCGATCATTAAAAACAGTTTGATAGATAGAAAATAAACTCATTAATTATTTGAGTTTCTAAAAGTATGTTGGACAGTAAATACTATTGTATGAAAATAATATGGTGATTACAAAATAGCTCACAATTAGATTTATTTGAAATTGACCAGAATAGCGTAAAAGTATATCGTCTCATTTTGTGGAGAAATGAACTGAATGAGAGATCTATCTAGTCAATAGATAGACTACTACATTACATTCTTTTTCTTCTTTATCAACATAAAATATAGTGATAATGTATGAAAAAAAAAATTTATATTTTAGAATTCTCTTTCAGTTTTTGTTTGTTAGTACAGTGTATGAGTTTATATATCTGATACTTAGAGTATGGATTAATCATGTAGATAAATGAGATTACATGTTTTAACATATCATTATTTAATATTGAAAAATATCGTAATTATTATTTTTTCAAAACTTTTATTACGAGAGAAAAAATATTTGATAAATAAAAGAAAGAAGCAAACGGCAGTGTCGAACAGCAAGAACAGTGTATAATTGTACTGGCTTCAAAAAATGTTTGATTAGATCGTTTATACGCAATAAATAATAACTATAATACGAACGAATTAATATGTTAGATATGAATGTTCTTCATATATATATATTTTTGATGGTATTTATTTGAACATTGTATTAATAGTGGCATTAGCAGCAACATCAATTTTGAAATTGAAAGAAAAAAAGTTAAAAATAAACTGAAAATGAAAAGACAAACAAAAAGATAGATAAAAAAAAAACTATTACATAGCATTCATCAAGAGGAAAATGAGAAGTAAAATATTTCTAGTTTATTCACTAAAAAATTATAAAAGAAGAAAAAATGTCAGGTGAACATGTTGTCCGTTCGTGAGTATATAACCATTGCTTCTATTTTTAGGTTAACAACAGAAAACGGAAAAAACAAAACGGGACAAGGTTAAAAAAAAAAAGGAATTTGAATGCTGTTATGATGAACATTTAGTTTCAAGTGGCTGTTTGTTGATGTTAACGTGACACAAACACATATAAAAATGTCGTTTTTATACACGAATAAACATAATATATGATTTAATCTTTCTATTCTTGTGGTCCTGCGCCTGGTGGTGGAGCATAGTTCGGTTTATTTCTGAATAAAAAAAAGAAACATGGTTGACTTTATCTGTCTGTTCAATTGCTTATACAATCAAAACTAGTCTCTGATATAGTCATTTTTTTCATGCATATTTTAATTAGTTATTTGTTTGTTTTTGAAATTTTTGAGATCAACTTACGTCATTTGTGATCCGTCTTTGTTACCAAGATGTTCACCAGTATCCATTCCTTAAAGAAAAAAAAATTATAAATTATAAAATAAACTACAGGCTCATTTTTTGTTCTTACCAAGTGTTCCTGCTCCTTGTCCGAAACCTGAAATGAAAAAAATTATTTTTAGTAAGAAAAATAGAAATTTTCTGAATTAGTCTCATCCCATATCCTTTGGGTCCAAATTTGCGGGCATAACATTGTTTACAATAAACATTGCCATCATGTTCAGCCATTGTCATTGCTTCTAACATCTTTTTGCATAAACCTAAAGAATGTGAAAAAACAACAACAGTATTTAAATGTTGTTGAATAACGGGAAAAAGAATCCATTACTAATTACATACCACATTTAAAGCACATTTTATGCCATTTTTTTCCAGCTGCTGGCACTTCTTCAGCTGCATAAACATTTTGATTACATTTTGGACATTTGGCATTTTCAACTACTTTGAACGGCATGATTTTGAATTACTTATATCGTTACTACAAGAGATGTGTGTGATAGAAAGAGAGAGAGAGAGAAAGAAAGAACAGAAAATCTGAAATAGTCAATATTTCGTCTAATATTAGATAGATATTAATCGATGTTCGTTAAAATTAGAGGAAAAAAAAAATATTCCTAATCAAATAAAATATCATTATTACTATTTAAGGAATATATTAAATAATTAATAAGAAAAAAGTAAATAACAGCATACACAATCATTCATATACAACTATGATTAGAATGTACACTCATCCCAGTAATAAATAATAATTATTGCATTGTAAAAGAGGAAAAGTTATCGTGAAAAATATTTTGAAGTAATATTCTCCTCAATATTTTAAAAAATGATGATTTACTAAAGAAGAAAGTAGCTATTTTAACTATGACACAATACCTTCACATAATAGTGACTATTACATCATTTAAAAAAGTATGTGGTGAATATTACTTCATTCAAATAATAGAAAATATCTTAAATAGAATGTGACATGGAAAAATGAAACGTGCTAAAATACTAATTTAAAATAAAACTAAATAGTTAATTCTTTTTTAACTTTTTATTTAATATTCTTATTCATGACTAGCTTGATTGGCACCAGGAGGAGGAGCATAATTCGGTTTGTTCCTGTAAATAATATGAAAAAAATATCTCAACTAGATTAAATAAAGTCTTAAAATTGATCTTAAGCTCATCAATAGATTATATGATTCATTACTGTTAAACCACTATACCCTAATTATGACTGAACTTTGTATTTATGTTTAAACAATAAATTTTTAACTTACGTCATTGCTGTTTCACGATTACCAAGATGTTCGCCAGTATCCATTCCTAAGGCGCCAGCACCAACACCATATCCGCAACCTTTTGGCCCATATTTACGTGCGTAGCATTGTTTACAAAAAAGATTTCCATCATGTTCAGCTACTGTTGTTGATTCTAACATTTTTTTGCACAATCCTACAAGAAATTTGTTAATATAAAATAATAATTAATAAATTGCTTAAAATGATAAAAAGGAAAAATATGTTGCATAACAAACATAAAATTTTTAATGGTCTGAAACTGTGAAAGTACGCACCGCATTTGAAGCAAGTTTTGTGCCATTTTTTACCGGCGGCAGGTACCTCTTCAGCATGATACACTGGTTGATTACATTTAGGACAACGGACAATTTGAATTGAAAATGGCATCTGAAAAAAGATGGATTTAAGCAGGAGAAAAGTGAATGTGAGAATGAGAAAATGAGAATGAGCAATCGAGAACATGCAACGTTCTTACAATATTACAATCAATTAAATTCTAAACTACTATGTGAATATCATTTTTATCTAAATATTTCGAAATGCTCGGCTCGCTTATACTTGTACAACAGTCTACTATTATTAAAAATTTTAAGTCTTTTATTTTAAATCGTCTTCAGTCTCTTTTCTAATACAAATATTGGTTCAATTTTCAATAGAATTTTGGTAATTTGAGATATTTATAAAATATTAGCACCATAATAATTCTCAAGGAACATATTCAATAGCATTGTTCCTTCCGTGTATAAACGGAGGATTCACCCTATTACATTACTTTGTATAATCAGCTTTTAAATGTTATATAAACAATAAAAAACGGTATTTTATTATTCTTTTTTTTTTTTCATTCTAGTCGAATGCATCGGTATGTATACTCTCAAAAAGAATTATTTTCTCACATAGCTACTATTGGAATGCTGAATTTAATTAATTATTTGTTAAGCTCCCATTAGAACATGCTAAGAGAAAAAATAATATTTTGATTGTGAAGCAGGTATAAGGGTGACAGGATTCACATTTCTTCTGAAGATATCTTTAATATGTTGAAATTATAATATTATATTTCATGCATATGGGTAAAAAATAAAATAAGTACAGTATATTAATAATTTTAAAACGTACCACATTTAAAGCACATTTTATGAAATTTTTTTCCAGCTGCTGGAACTTCCTCTGCTGCATAGACATTCTGATTGCATCTTGGACATTTTACGACCTCAGGTGGTTTGAACGGCATTTTAATAGTCGACTAAATATATACAAAATTTAACACAACCTGTCTTAATGGTTATGATGCTCTTTCTTAACACTTTAATTTACAAAGTTTAGTTCAAGTGATCTCATAATTGACTATCATCAATCTAAGCATGAATATACAGTAGTTCTTATATCTGCCTGATAAATACAGCAAATAAAGAAAGACATTTATAAAAGATTCGAAAAAAACAAATTTGTTTTTTAATAAAAATATCTCTGTAAAAGTAAAAGTAACTTTTGTAATTGTAAGTATGATTAATAATGATAAATACGGAAAACAGATATTGCAAAATCAAATTAATATGATCATGTCATTTCCTCTTATCTAATTATAGTTGTAATTTTCAATCCTCTCTTTATCAAAGTTAAATTTCTATTTACTAATTAATAAAAAGTGTGAATACTTACATATCTGAGATTAGAAGTTCTAGTAGTCTAAAAAATTTAAAAAGATATTAAAATAGTCTGATTTATTTTCTTATATATATATATATCACATAGACAAAAAAAATAGTGCATAAAAATTTTACTGTATGTATCATGCATTTCGTCTTATATGATAATAATAATATTATTATTCTTGTTCGATACTAGTTTTTTCAATAGACTGAAACTCTAAGCATGTAACATAGTATCTGGTCTTTTAGTACACACATAATTTTCTCTAAATATGTCGAAGAAGAAGCAAAAGAGAAATCCACATATATCTGTATAGCAATGATGATGATATAAACCAAAAAAAAAAAAGAAACTCTCTATATCACATCTATTTGTACGTATGTATTTGCGTAGGGGTGAAATACAGAAACTAGAACAATAACCAAATATCAACAACCTCCATGGTCTAAACAAGATGAAACTCAAGCCCTAATGTCACTAAATTTAGGAGAAGAGTGTGTACCTATATAACCGCATCTTTCTGTTTTTTTTGTGTTTTTTTGGTTTTTCCTAAAAATATACACACAAACACACACACACACACATATACATTTTGGAAAGAAGAAAAAGAGACGTCCAACAATTTTGTCTATTTTCCCAGTCTAATATTACACGTGCAGAAGGAAAAAGAAAAACTAAAAAGCTGATAAGTAAATGACATTCATGCTATCAATCAAGATTACTAAAAGAGAAAGAGAAAAAAAAAGAAGAGAAATGATGATAATGATATATGTATATTTTAGAGGAACGTAGATATGCATTTTTTTTCTCATAATGTAATTGTCATATATCTCTAACGAGAGATAAATAGAACGGATGGAACTGATTTACAAAAGATTTATACAGTTGTTTCCAGAAATTCTTCCATAGAGAATAAAAGAAAAAGAAAGTTATTTTGTATGGGAAAAATTATTAAAGTGCCGCTTACCTAAGCCTACACAATTTGAGATGACTTTTTTCTTCTTCTTCTTACGAGTTTCTTTTAAGAATGTGTTGACTCAAGGTCATGATTATTCAGCTGATTTCTTCTTTCACCAAATGAACAAGATAGAAAAGCTCGTTTCAATTATCATTATTATTATTGTTATGTCATTGTTTCTGGCAAAACTTCAACTTTTTCCCGGCAATATTTATCTATACATACAAAAAAACAAGAAGACTATACAGCAGTTAGATCTATGTACGCAATAATGCTATGCGTACAATGTCTGTACTACAATAATAGTTGAGAGCATAACAGGCTCATTTTGTCATATTTCTTGTAAGACTGTTGTACTACTGTACTCATAAAACAATGACTAAAAAGGGAAAAAAGAATGTCATCCCTTGGGTCAACAATATACTCGAATACACATGCGATCTGTAACAGAGTTTGCTTTTTTGACGCGAGAAAATGAGAAGAGAACTAGAAAAATTGGAAGTGTTAATAATTAATTAGAGAGAAAATATATACGTGAATAAAACTAACATCGAAAGTAGCTCTCTTTTTCTATTATAACGAAACTGTCCATATATTTTTTATATAAACGAAGGCAGTTTCGGCTAAAATTTAAGCGAACAACGGTATAGTGGTGATGGAGCAGAGGCGGAGTCAATTATTAGCAAAAGTCATGTGTAGAGATTTATGATAATTCTCAGAAAATTTTCAAGTGATTGATATGCTTATCTTATTTTTATGTACTATAATTATCGATCCAAAATTTGCGATCAACTCTTTCATAGTACTGCTTTATAGAAAGTCGTTTAATAAGAATAAAGCAATGATTGTTTATGAAACTATTCATTCTTGTCAGAAACATTCTATCACGTCGATTTTCTGAACAAAAATGTTTCTTTCCGTCTTTGTTTGAATGGTATCATTAGTAAATATTTAGTATCAAAATAGCCTTGTCATTGTAATATATTTCTTTTATTTACAGAATAGCATAATGATGAGAACGCTTGACTTAAATCTGTTATAAAAAGCGATAAAAGTATAAATAGTAACGTTAAACGAATATTTTCATCGCAGACTTTAATAGAATGCTACTTATACTTTTCCGACATTGGTATCGGTTATAGTAGATGCCTTCTCGACAACAGGAAAAAATATTTGATAAAATGTTGTGTACATTTTGATAACGTTGTTGGTCGTAGATTGCACTACTCAATTAAAGAAACTCACCACATATTTGAGAAGTCTTTTTTTAACGTTATTAATTCATGTTTCAAATTTCAGTAGGTATATTTGAATTATATTTGCAATTTCATTAAAAATAACATTAAAAAACAGACGGATTTCAACGAATAACATTAGAAGACAAATTTTGTTTAAAAAAAAAAGCAAAGAAGTAGGATGAAGCACATCATATTTAGAACAAAAGCATTCACAGATTTTTTTCCGAAATTTTTTAACTTATTTATATAAAACGTGAAAAACTAAGTTTAGTATAAATATTTTGTACTGTAACATAGCATCTTTGAAGATGGCAGTCCTCATAAAGATAGTTAATTAAAATGGAACTCATCATACGCGATTTTCATAATCACGTTGATATAAATTGATAGACGCGGCATATTCTTTCTTCAAATTATGTACATATCTAAATGAAAATACAGAAGATTTTAAAAGCATTAATCTGGAGTTGTGTAATTCAACATTAAACTTAGAATAGATAAACCGATCTAAATATATAATAGATCACTATGATAAGAATAAGATGTAAAATACATTACTTTGGAATATCAGGTGATTTCACTGGCGAACTTGTTCTAAAACCGTTGTTTAAATCAGAGGAAAAATAATCGTTGTTGTTATTATTAGATGCTAACACATCAGAACAATAACCATTAGTAGTTGACAGTCTCTAAAATACGAAATGAAATAGAAAAAGTAAATAATTGTTATATAAAATGTTTGAAATACCTGTTGTTGTTGTTGTCGTTGTTGATGTAATTCATCATCACTTCCATTTCTAGCATGATTGATGATGGTGATAGATGATGCTGGTTTTCGCAAGAGATCATCATTACGCGAACGAAGATCCTAAACAATATTCATTTGTAATAGGAGAAGAAAAGTAGATTAATAAAACATACAAACCTCAATTTCAACTAACTGAGCATTCATTCTTTGATTAGACATTTTCAATGCATTTTCTAAACATTCAATTTTGGCATGCATATTTACTATGGTTGTATTTTTTTCATTTAATTCAAAATTTAAACGATTCATATCACGTTTTGCATTCAATACTTCTTCATTGCAACGTCGAATTTGTAACGAAAAATCATTTATATTCTAAAAATGATTACAACGATCGTGAATGTATATCATAAAACATAATCGAATAAACATCAAGTTATTCAATACCTGATCATCTGAACGACGTTTGTAATAATCAATATCATTTTCTAAACTTTTTATTTTACATTCAAGAATAGTTTGTGTAGCACGCAATTCTGGTGCACTCTAAATTAAATCATCTAAACATTTGTTTATTTTCATACTAATGAGATAGTAACTATTCATTTTTACATTGCTGCGTTGTAACGATTGAACTAATGTTTCTAAATAACTATTGTGTTCAAGAAGTGCTTGTTCACGTTCACGCGATTGCTGAATATGATCTTGTAAATCTTTGAGTTTTTGTGCATCCTAAAAAAGGAACAATAGAAAATTGCCAAAATATTATTTGATTGTTTAGCCCATACAAGATTAAAATGAACACGTTTGCGATTATCATCCACTTTCAATACATCCTGCTCTTCACGTAGCTTTTTATTGTCAAATTCTAATTTCTAAAATAAAAAAGACATCATTTCTATTAAAACAATATGTTTTCTCTTGTACCTTTGTTAATTCTTGAAGTTTTCGTACTTCTGCTGATGTTTCTCGTGTATTGAAACCGGTTTTGCTTTCTTGTTTTTTGTGTGTTTTTTGTAACCGCTCATGTTCTTGCTGGACAGTTTTAAGCTAGAAAAGTAAGTACTACGGACATGAAAAACATAGCGTCAAAAACAGAAAATAGTGGAAGTAATGACAGTTCTACTCACCATTTTAAAAACAAAGAAAATAAATATTATTTGGTAAAGTAATATCAAATAAAAGCAATGGTGTTGAAGGTTATTCAAAAGTAGAGCTTGGGGAAGTCAATTAAACATAAGTGATTAGTCCTTTATATAACAGTTAGCGTATTGTATTTACTCATTTTAATAAAAGATTTTACAGAAACGAATTTTCACAAAAAAGAATCGTTTTCGCTAGAAAATTCTCAGTTCACTCTTGCACAAACATCTATTTATACTCTTACTTGTTGTGTTAGAATAAAAAGTTCATCGTCATATTTTTTGATTATGTCTCTTGTTGTTTTATCGGCTTTGTCCAGCATTTTATGCAATTGATTTACCTAAAGATAACAAACGCATGCTTCACCAATTGATTTATAACTGAAAAAATTCATTTTACCTCAACATCTTTTTTTTCTAAGGCAGCACGATTTCTTGTACTTTCACATTCTTTTAATAAGAGATCACGTTGAAGATCATCAAGCTTTTTTTGATTACTCAGCCATTTCATTTGCCGTCTGTTAATCAATACATCAATTTTCTTCAATAAACTTCCCAAATCTTTTCCATCAGTCGCATTTGTTGTCCTAAAATATGATCAGTCTTAAGGACGATAGAAACTCGATACAGCAGTTAACTTACTTTGTACAGATGACTCTCAATCTTGACAGAAGATCATCAAGTTCGTTATCTGACATGATGTTGTCTAATTCTAAAAGCGGCAAATTTACGAATGCTTAACTGATGACCTAAATGCTTATTTGACAAACGAGAACTTGCCAATAGCTGCGACTGTTCTATTTTTTTTGTGAAGAAAACAGTCGGTTGATCCTCTTTGAATGTTCAAAATACCACCAGGGAAATTTCGTGCAAAGTGGATGTTCGACGTCTAGACGTTTATTTCGCCGGGTCACTCAAGTACAGCTTTCATTAAAGTACAAAAGTCGCTCTCGAACTTCATTCAACTCAGTGGCGGATCCAGCCCGCGAGCGGTACGAGCGGCCGCTCGTATCTTTTAAGCAAAAAAACTGTTTTTTCCCAGCAGATCTCTCTTAGAATAATTTGTTTCTATGATGACCGCACATATCTCGCATTTTTATCGTATACCGCACGTATCAAAAAATAATTCTGGATCCGCCACTGATTCAACTTGCGTTGATAAAT